GGGGCAGATGGAGAGGGGGGATATATATAGAGAGAGAAGAGGGGGGAGAGAGAGAGAGGAAGAGAGAGAGATTTGACTATATGAACTCTGGGACAGTGATCTCACTAATACATGCTCACTAATAGATACAAGACACCTCTGGGGGTTTACCTCTCCAGCCTCCACCATATGCTGAGCTGTCAGTTTTGGGTGGTGTGAGGCTCTAGTAGGGGCCCCAGTCAGCTCAGGCCAGGTGAGGGTGACATGGTTCCTCCAGCAGTAATATAGGTCATTCCTGAGTGCAGGAGAAAATCCAGCTCAGCCATCGGGGGGGAACAAGGTGATTTCCATCTGCGGCTTAAACCTCAGACAGGAAATCATTATCCGCTCCTTCACCGGCACGCAGACGGGTGTTTATTTCCCATGAAGGCGCAGCGGCGGCCATTTTGTGTCTAGAGCCAGTAAGGAGCCTGTTAGCTGATGTTTCATACATTCTGATGGTCTTCAAGGCATACAGGATCTGCCAAGTTAAAGGGAATTAAACTTCAAGAAGTTTAAATTGTGAGCACTTGTAGGCAACCTTGGTACTCCAGTTGTTTGTTGAGCAACAAGTCCCATGAGGCATTGCAAGACTCTGACAGCCACTGGGATGACTGCCAGGAGCATGATGGGAGGTGTAGGTTTACCACAGCTGGAGGGCCAAGGTTGCCTACCCCTGAGGTAAAGATTTATGGTAGAGGATCCTCTGTCTGTCTATCTTATGTGCCTCCGACCCTTCCTGCTTTGCTACACATTGACATGTGGCAGTCCTATGGATAATAGGCACAAGAGCCAGGTGCCGGGATGGTGTTACTCCCATGTGCATGTACAGAAGTTACATTGTTCATGGCCAACCAATGGCTCATGGCTTTGAGATGGTGTTACTCCCATGTGCATGTACAGAAGTGACATTGTTCATGGCCAACCAATGGTTCATGGTTTTGAGATGGTGTTACTCCCATGTGCATATACAGAAGTTACATTGTCCATGGCCAACCAGTGACTGAGGACTTTGAGGTGGTTTTATTACTATGTGCATGTGCAGGAGTTACGTCATCCATGGCCAACCAATGACTGAGGACTTTGAGATGGTGTTACTCCCATGTGCATGTGCAGGAGTTGCGTTGTCCATGGCCAACCAATGGCTCATGGCTTTGAGATGGTGTTACTCCCATGTGCCTGTGCAGAAGCTACATTGTCCATGGCCAACCAATGGCTCATGGTTTTGAGATGGTGTTACTCCCATGTGCATGTACAGAAGTTACATTGTCCATGGCCAACCAATGACTGAGGACTTTGAGGTGGTTTTATTACTATGTGCATGTGCAGGAGTTACGTCATCCATGGCCAACCAATGACTGAGGACTTTGAGATGGTGTTACTCCCATGTGCAGGAGTTGCGTTGTCCATGGCCAACCAATGGCTCATGGCTTTGAGATGGTGTTACTCCCATGTGCATGTGCAGAAGCTACATTGTCCATGGCCAACCAATGACTGAGGACTGTGAGACAATGTTACTCCTATGTTCATGTGCAGGAGTGACGTGGTCCATGGCCGACCAATGGCTGAGCACTTCCGCCTTGGAAGAAAACTGGGCCAAGTTGGCAGCGGTTGCAATGGAGAATGGACAGGCCACGTCCCTGAAGAAGGGCGCACTCGGAGATAAGTCTGCCATGATATACAAAGATCCAAAGGGAGGTGGTGGACCTAAATCTTTGGTTGAACCTAATGACTTGAGTTTGGCTGCTCTTCACAATGCGAAGGAACCCCAAGATAATATTGGGGTCACCCAAATTGAGAGATCCATGTATGATGTACAAAATAGTGCAAAAACAATTGTCTCAAGAGTCCAAAGGTCCTTTATTAATGCTAACGTATTGCTACATTATCTTCACCCTTCTTGAAGGGGGATTCTTGGCCCCCGAAACATGTTGGCTTCCTATGGAGTTCCTGTCATGTTTGTGATACTAATAAAGGACTTTCAGACTTTTGAGATGATCGTTTGGCTCACTCATAACCTGCAAATATGTTGGAATCTTGTGATATTTGTTGATTGCCCTCCTAAGTCTTGCAGCCCCCCGTGTGGTCAGATGGCCGTTCTCCTTGTACGTCGGGCCTACATGAGAGCCTATCCTTGAATCAATCAAGTGAGGATTGAGGGCAAATAGGATGGGGGTGGGAATGATAAGACTTGTGGCTCTTTTAGTTAGAGGCACCAGCAACCCTCACACATCAATAACAAGATAGAGCAGCCTCATAGGAGCACAATACACCAATTCTGGGTATGCAGACAAAGACTCTATTAACATGCGCACAGTGGGTAAGGGATACTACTTGTAAATTGTTATATGGCTGGATTTCCCCTTTAAGGGTCCATTGGATGTGTAGATGAATGACATTCAGCAGGCAGTAGCAGAAAGGGTTAGCTACACATGCCTCCTCCCTTCCTCTCTGTCCCATCTTCTAGGCTCTCGGTAAGCCGGTTATATTTGCGTATGTGGACAGAGATTAAACATCATCAGAAGAACGCTGGGGGCATGTAGGAAACTTTGTACAGGGTAACCTGACATTTTAACTCAATTGTCTCCCATGGCTGTGCCCAGCTTTCCATGCACTTTTGTTGACAGTAGTTTGCCTATGTGCCGTGAAAATTGACAAAATTTAACAAGATTTGCACCCTCTCCCTACCCCCTTCATAGATTTCAGTAGGATCTACATCTATGTTGGGGTTTAACTTTAAAAAAGATTTACCAAACCCTTGGTGTTTCGAATCTGGACAGATTGACCTTTCCCTAGCTCTAGGTATTCTGTTATTCATAAGAAAACCCGTCTGCTACTCTCTCAGAACATCCTATTTCACTCATGTTGGGTCTTGAGAACCAGGGTGAGAGCTCAATGGGGGTGCCTGTATTGTATGACTGAAGAATTTCGGACCAAAAGTGTTAATCTGCAGTGAATTACAGTGGGGGTGGATGAGGCTGGCTTGACTCTTCTCAGGTCAGCAGAAGAGCCTAAGGGGCTCGTGGGCCTAATGGGGAGGATTGGCGGATCTCAGGTTAAGGCTTGGTGAGCCTCAGGTTAAAGCTTGGTGGATCTCGGGTGAAGGCTTGGCAAATCTCATGTAAAAACTTGGTAGGTCTTAGGTGAGAGCTTAGTGACCCTCATGTAAAAGCTTAGTAGGTCTCAGGTGAAGGCCTGGTGAGCCTCAGGTTAAAGCTTGGTGATTCTTAGGGGAAGGCCTTGTGAGCTTCAGGTTAAAGCTTGGTGAGTCTCAGGGAAGGCTTGGTGAGCCTTGGTTAAAGCTTGATGGGTCGTGGGTGAAGGCTTGCGTAGCTTCAGATTAAAGCTTGGTGGACCTCGGGTGAAGGCTTAACAAATCTCATGTAAAAACTTGGTAAGTCTTAGGTGAGAGCTTGGTGACCCTCATGTAAAAGCTTAGTAGGTCTCAGGTGAAGGCCTGGTGAGCCTCAGGTTAAAGCTTGGTGATTCTTAGGGGAAGGCCTTGTGAGCTTCAGGTTAAAGCTTGGTGAGTCTCAGGGAAGGCTTGGTGAGCCTCAGGTTAAAGCTTGATGGGTCGCGGGTGAAGGCTTGCGTAGCTTCAGATTAAAGCTTGGTGGGTTTCAGATGAAGGCTTGGTGAGCCTCGGGTCAAAGCATGGTCGGTCCTGGGTGAAGGCTTGGTGAGCCTCAGGTTAAAGCTTGGCGGATCTCAGGATAAAATTTGATGAGCCTCAGGGGAAGTTTTTGATGAGCCTCTGGCTAAGCATAGTGAAGCCTCCTGAGATATGTATAACTTGTGCAGCCATGGATTGTGACTCTAATGCAGAGCAACTGATTCTTCTTCCTAAAAAAATGTTCAATTTCCTCCTAGACTCAAAGTTATCTTTAATGCCTAAGCATTGTTCCAACAACTACCTGATGGCAGATCCAGCCCTGAACATGCTTATGGTATATGAAACCCAGTTATGACTTTAAAGGCAATTTTGTATGTGAACAATAGTTTCCTGTAGTGATCCTGAACACTCATCATGGTCAACTGTCATATGAAACTATCTTATGATTCCTGCAAACTACAAGATGATATGTGAGGATATTATGTTGTAATATTGTGGTCATGTACTCCCAACTCTTCCAGGCCAACTCTTTCTTCATATCCGCCTGTTTTCTCACATGTACCACATGAATAATAGATGTGACGTTGTTCACAAGTCAGCTGTGTGGTTATACTGTCTATCTATCTATCTATCTATCTATCTATCTATCTATCTATCTATCTATCTATCTATCTATCTATCTATCTGTTATCTATCTATCTATCTATCTATCTATCTGATTTTTGACTTATACATGAAAATAATCCTCATAGAGACACAAAGCTATAAAAATCAGTTTTATTGATTCATAAAATCTCCTCGTTATCTATGGAATGGATTGTTATATATAACACATGTAGCGGGGGTTCTACTTCGGTCTAGATCATACGATGTGTTGGTTGAGCTGAGACATTCTGTGTATCATCTGCCTCTGGAGCACAGTCAGGGATGTTGGTCACATCAGGCAGAGAAAGGTTAAAGGTCAGCGTGACATCATCCGAACAAACTCTGGAGAAGTAGAGAACAGAGTCAGTAGAAGGCAGAACAGGTGTCCGTGGGGGGGAAATCAGTGACAGAGTCAGGAGAAGGCAGAGAAGATGTCTGTGGGGGCAGGGAACAGAGGGGGGAGAAGGCAGAGAAGTTGTTGGGGGGGTCAGTGACAGAGTCCCGATGAAACATCTTACCTTCGAAATCCACCGTCCCGTCTCCGTTTAGATCGGCTTCCCGCACTACGTCAGCTATTTCACTATTGCTCAGTTTCTCCCCTAGGAGCCTTTGCATGGCTTGCTGTAGCTCATCCAAGGTGATCTCCCCATCACCATTGGCATCAAACTGGGAAGAGATAAGAGACAGGAAATGTATTTCTTCTATGGACTTAATCCGACCATACGCTCTACAATCTGCAGACTGCTTTTGGCTCAGGAGCATTTTTTAAAAACATAAGACACAGCACAGTCTTTGAACTATGGGCAGCAGGCCCAGAAGGGCCAATAAGAGGGATTTGGAATAGGGTTTTCCCCCAAAAAAGTAGTAAAAGCCGTTTAAAACAGCTCACTTACCTGTGTAGCTATAGGCATTGTGGAGACATTCATTCTCAAAGTTCATGACACTGAAATCTGAAATATTTTCCTATTTCTTTCTTCATTCATAGAAGGATCCTGGCTGCCCTCTAATGTAAACACACAGCAGGTGTTTCTAAGCCAGGGGTGGGCAACTCCGGCCCTCAAGCTGTGCTTTAAATACAAATCCCAACATGCCTCTGCCACTGGGAGAGGTCGTGCTAGTGACTGTCAGTCTTCAATGCCTCATGGGACTTGTAGTTCCACAACGGCTGGAGGGTCGGAGTTGCCCACCCCCTTATCTACGCTGTTAGAAATCAACAGACTTCAGACTCTTTGTTTAGATCTTTGAGAAGGAATAACTGCACGGTATACGCAGCTAGAGAGGTCAGCGATGGCGCGTTTGGAAGCATTTTTACAGCTTGTTAAGAATACATTAATACTTGATTGCCCTTAGTCAGGGCACAGGCGGCACTGCAAGCTAAAATGTGTAAGCCTGACTGCATGGCCAACCACAAAATATTAACATGAAATAAAGACTTTGTAGCAATATAAAATAATCACTGTGAGGGGAATGGAGAAGACAGAATGTGGAGCAGCTGCCCATAGTAACCAATCAGCTTCTCTCTTCAGTTTGTTCAGTTAAGCTTTGAAAATGAAAGAGAGAAGCTGATTGGTTGCCGTGTACAGCTGCTCCAGTTTTGAAAATTTCCCAACTTTCTATTGATTCATTGATTCAATGCATGGATATAAAGTAAACACAATGCATGGATATAAAGTAAACGCTATGCATGGATATAAAGTAAACACAATGCATGGATATAAAGTAAACACAATGCATGGATATAAAGTAAACACAATGCATGGATATAAAGTAAACACAATGTATGGATATAAAGTAAACACTATGCATGGATATAAAGTAAACACAATGCATGGATATAAAGTAAACACAATGCATGGATATAAAGTAAACACAATGCATGGATATAAAGTAAACACTATGCATGGATATAACGTAAACACAATGTATGGATATAAAGTAAACACAATGTATGGATATAACGTAAACACAATGTATGGATATAACGTAAACACAATGTATGGATATAAAGTAAACACAATGTATGGATATAACGTAAACACAATGTATGGATATAAAGTAAACACAATGTATGGATATAACGTAAACACAATGTATGGATATAAAGTAAACACAATGTATGGATATAACGTAAACACAATGTATGGATATAAAGTAAACACAATGTATGGATATAACGTAAACACAATGTATGGATATAAAGTAAACACAATGTATGGATATAACGTAAACACAATGTATGGATATAAAGTAAACACAATGTATGGATATAACGTAAACACAATGTATGGATATAAAGTAAACACAATGTATGGATATAACGTAAACACAATGTATGGATATAAAGTAAACACAATGTATGGATATAACGTAAACACAATGTATGGATATAAAGTAAACACAATGTATGGATATAACGTAAACACAATGTATGGATATAAAGTAAACACAATGTATGGATATAACGTAAACACAATGTATGGATATAAAGTAAACACAATGTATGGATATAACGTAAACACAATGTATGGATATAAAGTAAACACAATGTATGGATATAGAACTAACACATGGGGGGGGGGGATTTATCAACACTGAAACAAACAGAAGCCAATCAGCTTCTCTCTTCAGTTTGTTCAGTTAAGCTTTGGAAATGAAGGAGAGAAGCTGATTGGTTGCTGTCTGTTTCAGTGTTGATAAATTCTCTTCTCTGTAACAATATAAAAGAAATACTTTGTATCGATATGGAATAAACATCTTTCTTCCAGACGTCCAATCGCTGAGTGTTCTATATATTTGTATTTATGGGAGGAGTTTGTTCTCTGGAGACACGCGGATCATCCTGAAGGGTTTTCCTCTCCAGTCATCCCTGGGAACGTTTCCACCATTCACATCTGACCTCACATCCTCTACATACGTCCTCTGCCCTCCACACACCCTCCTCACCTCTCTGAAGGCATCTCGGAGTTCCTTCACCCCGATCATCCCCGCCGTCTCCTCCAGGAGCTTGGGAGTCATCAAATCGACAAAGTCCTGGAAGTCCACCCGACCACCCACTGAGGAAGAAGGAGGATGGAGATGATCACCATACAGGGTGTAATGAAGAGGACCAGGGTGGGTTGTGCGGGTGTACCGAAGAACACAGACACGGGGGAACTACAGCCCACCATACACGTGACAATGTGATTGCACAACCTTCTTTAGATCGACCAACAACTGTGTAGTGCAGGAGCCGGTCTGATTGGATACAGATTGGTTGGGTAGATCAGGTTGGTCCTCATATTGCATAGTTCTTGTAACTCTAAATTCGATTGTGCAATAATTGCAGTGTGTGTGTGGTGACGGGTGAATATAACTGGAATTCTGGATTCAGCGAGGTGGCTCAGTGGTTAAGTTAATCTATTACGAGGGACGCCGGGTCACAGTGCAGATGGAATCATTGAAAAGTTACTTTTTGTATTTAAATGACCTCAGCCAAACCGATCGGCATTGGAAATAATCAGCCGCTAAGGTGTCACAGATGGACACTTTGGAGTGTACCCCCCCATAGGACCCTTGTATGCGTTCTGTGTCACAGCCCCTCCCCCAGCACTTACGGTTCATGTTGATCTGCTGCGATAACTCGATGAGCTCCATCTCGGTCGGCATGTATCCCATAATCCTCATCAGGTTGCCGAGGTCCTTACAAGTGATGAAGCCATCTTTGTCCTTGTCGAATTCTACAAAGGCTTCGCGGAGCTCTGCGAGAGGGTGGAGAGGACCACAATGGAGCCTTTACACATAGTAGACTTGTGCGGCGTCAAAAAATTTGTTTTGTTTCGGAATATCCGTTATTTCATATTTCGTAATTCGTATATGAAACTCAATTCGGATTTGTACGAAATTCGTTTCGGCACATTTCCGTAACTGTACGAACATTCGTTATGATGGAGACAATCCGTTAACGGAATTCGTATTTCGTTAACGGATTGCGGATCCGAATTTCATATATCAGTTGTAATCTAGTGTGAGGAGCTTCCTGTAATAAAGACCGGTCACTGCTGCTCTCTCTCCTTGTGCAGGGTGACTGGTCTTGTCTCCGCCCCCTCATGTAATAAAGACCGGTCATTGCTGCTCTCTCTCTCCTTCTACAGGGTGACTGGTCTTGTCTCCGCCCCCTCCTGTAATAAAGACTGCTCATTGCTGCTCTCTTCTTGTGCAGGGTGACTGGTCTTGTCTCCGCCCCCTACTTTAATAAAGACCGCTCTCTGCTGCTCTGTCCTTGTGCAGGGTGACTGGTCTTGTCTCCGCCCCCTACTTTAATAAAGGCCGCTCACTGCTGCTCTGTCCTTGTGCAGGGTGACTGGTCTTGTCTCCGCCCCCTACTTTAATAAAGGCCGCTCACAGCTGCTCTCTCTCCTTGTGCAGGGTGATTGGTCTTGTCTCCGCCCCCCTCCTATAGTTTTCTACAGGCAGCCTGTAGTGGGTGAAGCCTGATCGAGCTATGGGGAGCTGTTCTGTAGTCTACAGATTAGACTGGCCAGGGCTGACAACACTGCTTATGATTTTGGTGTAGACATATATTGAATGGGTGAAAAGGTCCCTGCGCTACCGCACACCACAGTGCACACAGTGCAAATAGCAAAGATATGTTTTTTCAAGCACTGAGGTATGTTCACGATGAGCGGGCTGCCCTAACACAACGTGCCGCCAAAATGCATGCACAAGTTTAAAGGGATTTTTACCTTCAATCTCATCTGTTCCCAACTCCCGATACTGTGAGAGAAAGAAAAAGAACAGAGAATGAGAAAAGAAAGGAAGACACCCAGACATTCATCAATCTTCACATGCAAAGGAGCGAACATTCACATAGCGGGGTGATTTATAAACCGTTCTCATGGCACTAGGGGGAGCCGAGGAGTATAGGAACTTTCTTTGATCCTCACATCATGGCCGCTAGGTGGAGCTGAGGAGCATAGGAAATTCCTATACTGTTCACAATGTGGCCACTAGGTGGAGCTGAGCATAGGGAATTCCTATACTGTTCACATCATGGCCACTAGGTGGAGCTGAGGAGCATAGGCAATTCCTATACTGTTCACAATGTGGCCACTAGGTGGAGCTGAGGAGCATAGGACATTCCTATACTGTTCACATTATGGCCACTAGGTGGAGCTGAGTAGCATGGGAAATTCCTATACTGTTCACATCATGGCCACTAGGTGGAGCTGAGGAGCATGGGGAATTCCTATACTGTTCACATCATGGCCACTAGGTGGAACTGAGGAGCATGGGAAATTCCTATACTTCTTGGCTCCACCTAGTGACCATCATGTGCTAACCAATCTCATTCAAACAGCTATGCAATTGCTTTATAAATCGCTCCAAAGTATTTAGAAAGTATCCAGCCGCTTTCTAGAAGCACTAAAAGCAGACGTCCAGCAAAAAATAACAATAAAGGATAAAATCACAATATCAGTTTTTGCCATGACTTTCATCTTTAATCCAGAAATTTACTCCACTGTATTTTTTTATAGATAGCAGTCCTCAATCTGATGGCCAGCATCAGTCCACCCACTACCTCTCAGAGCCTGGACCCGCTCCCAGCCTGTGACTGGACAGTGAAGGGAGAAGTAGTGCAGCTATGAGCTCATCTGTCTGTCACTGTGCTCTTTCCTCCTATCAGCATGCTTCTTGTCAGCACATGAACTGATTAGTTCTTCTGTGCTGCTTCTTCCCTCTCACACTCCAGCCCGGCTGTACGGGGGCTGCAAGAGGCTGATACCAGGTCACATTCAGGTACTGGCACTGCTTGTATATAATGACTACATAGCTGCACTTATTTGTGTCCTTTATATCTGCCCGGAGTTCAGCTTTAAAGCATCCCTCCTATTGCATAAAAGGTTTCATTCCTTATATCCCCTATCTCCTTTAGATTGTAAGCTCTTGGGGCCAGGGCCCTGTACATGTATATCTCGTCATTCACAGAAGTGATACAAAGTAATAACGGAAATATAAGAGTTGCCATTCCCAGCATAACCTTCTAGATGAATGCTGGCTGGACATGCTGGAAGTTGTAGTTCCTCAATAGCCGTCAGGCACTCAGTATATATATATATACCTCTACCCCAAGGTGCAACCCCAATGTTTTTCTTTATCTCAATCATTATAATGAACATTCGGGACTTCCAAACCCGACCAGCTGACGGTGAAGGGGACAGACACAGAATTGCCGTGTGAAGGGGACGGATGTTCTGCGGACCACATGAGACCGTTCTGTATTTCGGATCTACCTACCCCCTGCTTCTCCGCGATGCCCTTCCGCAGGAAGATACAAGCTGGGCCGAATCCCTGCATGCCAGTGCCGAGGGTCAAGACCGGTAACGCCAACTCTGGGGCTGTAACGGCCAGCTTCCGGCGAGACCTGGACATGGCTCCAACCGCCTGGGAGAAAGAGAGTGCCGGAGGCAGGGGAGGGAGAGAATGTCTGTAATTTCTATGACAATTAAGGTAAATGTATACAATAATATGAAGGGGGCTAGAGGGGGGAGAGAGAGGGAGGGAGAGAGAGAGCGAGAGGAGAGAGAGTGAAGGGGGAGATGGGGTGGGAGAGGGGGGAGAGAGAGAGGAAGGGGAGAGAGGGGGGGAGAGGATAGATAGATAGATAGATAGATAGATAGATAGATAGATAGATAGATAGATAGATAGATAGATAGATAGATAGATAGACATTATTATAAATATAACTCCAATCACTTTGTGTTATTTCAGCACTTAGTTTGGTGATAATAGTTGGTGACGTCCCTTCAGTCCTGAGTTTCTCTCCCTCTGTACACATTATATCCTCAGAGTCTGAAGTCATTACAATCTCCCGATGACGCAGTGTTTGGTTACTAGATATTTATTATGTGTGGTGTTCAGCTCTATCTAATCTTCTGTGCACGGAAGATATATTATTATTATCAATCCAGTAATGGTACTTCCCAGAGCTCACCTCAGGCGACCTGAGTCCACACCTCCTAATTAATGAGTTTAACAAATATTTACAATATTTCTATTGTGATGGAGTGTGTTTAGAAAGGACTCAGATGTATATCATTTAAGAAATATTTATTTAGATTCTTGTTGGTTTAAAAGATTCATGCAGTTCAATAAAATATTATTTTCAACTTCTCTTGTGGTGATATTCATGTGTATCTCAGAAAATCATGTATCTAACTCTAAGACTATTGCTGATTCGTATATTTGCAAACCGTATTCCAAACATTCTTAATACATTCATATGGATAAAGATATTCACATATTTGATAAAGTTCTATTACAGGTATATTACTAATTGATGAGTCCCCTACGCGTTACGCTCACACAGGCTTCTTCAGGGGGATGTATTTATTCTGTATGTTTGTATGTACCGACTTTCAGCAATAATCTGTTTTTTTTAAAAAAACCATATAATACCATATAGATTAATATTGAACCACAAGATAGAATCAACATACAGTATATCAATAAACTTCCATTCATTTCATTTCTATTTTCTAATTGTATACATAGTTCCTTAATTTTTCATTTGTCCATACAATATATATTTTTATCTTTTTCATTTGTCATTAATAGCTTGACATTCATGTTCATGCAAGGGAGATCTTATTTACATTGATTGTTTGTCCATTATTATTATATTATATTATTATTATCATTATTATTATTTATTCCATATCCCTGACAATTTACACAGCACTTTACATACTGCAAATTCCGTCCCCGCCCTGGAGGAGCTCACAATCTCCGGTCCCTCTCTTACATACAGTACATACACCTACCGGAGCCAATTAACCTTCCAGATAACTATTAAACTTGAGAATTCTATCTATAAAGGTCACCAGATGTAGACAACAACATGTTATTTATAGTTTTGTATATTCCGATACATAAATTTACATTTTGTTCTCTATGAAAGTATTTAAAATGTAACTTTTTAGGGGGCAATTTACACAAAGAACACAAGAGGAAGGAAAACTTGTGGAGGAGAAACATTGTGGCTCTTAGTGACCAATCAGATCCATTTTATATTTTCTCAAAGAATAGAAGATAAAGCCTGAATGGTCGTCATGGAAACATCCCGTTTTCCTTCAGACTTCCTTTTCCTGTGCATTTTATAAACAGCCTGCGTAGTACCTGATCCAAAAACAAGATCATCACCCACCTTTCTGCAGGAACGTGACCTTTCTTCCCTACACGGGGCCACCCAACAAAGTCGACAGATGGAACAGAGAATCTACGCGGCTTGGAGAACAATGGAGCTACAAGGGTATGGCACCGAGAAGGTTCGGCGTTGGGCAATGAAGGTCACTCAAGAGCAAACCGTTTCCAAGGCTTCCAAGACAAAATGCAGGGCGAGGGTACGAACGAATGTGAGACCAGATAGACGAAACAATCAGATCTGTTCATTAAAGGCTACGACAGATGTAAATGTCGACACGGACCAGAGAGGAGTGTAGACAACGGACGCCACAGGAGCTATGGGAGTGCATTGGTATTAGAGATCACCAGAAAGAGGATAAGACAGATTATATCACATGCCTCCTCTCGGGCTCTAAACATCT